TGCAAGCTCCGCCTCCTGGGTTCACGCCATTCTCCTGCCTCAACCTCCTGAGTAGCTGGGACTACAGGCGCCCGCCACCTCACCCGGCTAGTTTTTTGTATTTTTTTTTAGTAGAGACGGGGTTTCACCGTGTTAGCCAGGATGGTCTCAATCTCCTGACCTTGTGATCCGCCCGTCTCAGCCTCCCGAAGTGCTGGGATTACAGGCTTGAGCCACTAATTGGTTATTTTTAGTAATTCCTATCTCTATTGATATTCTTTTTGTCATGCTTCCTTTAATTCTTTAGGCAAGATTTCCTTTAGTTCTCCAAATACGTATAATTGCTAAATATAAAAAGTATTCATGTAATAAATGCAATATCTGGGTGTCCTCAGGGACAGTTTTACCTACTGCTTTTTCCTGTGTTAGGACCATACTTTTCAGTTTCTTGGTGTGTCTTGTAATTTTACGTTGGGAACTGGGCATTTTAAGTATTATAATGTAGCAAATCTGGAAATCAGATATTTTCCCTCTTCAGAGTTTGTTGTTGTTTCTGTTTATTATTATCACTGCTACTGCTGCTTCCCTTTGTTTAGTTACTTTCCTGAACTACTTGTCTTTGTCATGTGTGACCATTGCAGTCTGTGTTCAATAAGATTTGTTGTTAGCTAATGATTGGATTAGCTAGTAATTGCATTAAATGCCTACTACCATTAATTTTCGTTTCTCTGCCTTTGCCTCATGGCTCTGTGTGCATGTGTATTGAGGAATGTGTTTAATGCTCTAGCAGGTAGTTTTCAGTTCTTCCTTAGCTTTTCCTTCTTGCCAATGCAGAACCTCAAAGTCAGTCAGAGGTGAGGGATTAAGGTTTTCTCAGGTCTTTCTTGGCCATGTGCACTATCCTACACATGTGCATGGCCTTCTGCAATCTCAGAAATATGTTGGAACTTTCTAGAGCCTGCTGTGCACATCTCATTTCCTAATTTTTCCTTTTAAGTTCTTTCGTTGACCACTTGTTAACCTCTACTGGTATCACTGCCTCAGGCAGCTACAATGTGAAATAATTCTTGCCAATCGCTTTCAACAGACACTTTGGTGATAGTGCTGTTCACAATATGAGCTCTGAGTATGAGGTTTGAAAAGAATGACAAAACATTCATATACACCAATAACAGAGAGCCAAATCATTAGTGAAATCCCATTCACAATTGCTTCAAAGAGAATAAAATACCTAGGAATCCAACTTACAAGGCATGTGAAGGACCCCTTCAAGGAGAACTACAAACCACTGCTCAATGAAATAAACGAGGACACAAACAAATGGAAGAACATTCCATGCTCATGGATAGGAATAACCAATATCGTGAAAATGGCCATACTGCCCAAGGTAATTTATAGATTCAATGCCATCCCCATTAAGCTACCAATGACTTTCTTCACAGAATTGGAAAAAACTGCTTTAAAGTTCATATGGAACCAAAAAAGAGCCTGCATTGCCAAAACAGTCCTAAGCCAAAAGAACAAAGCTGGAAGCATCACGCTACCTGACTTCAAACTATACTACAAGGCTACAGCATGACTACAAACCAAAACAGCATGGTACTGGTACCAAAACAGAGATATAGACCAGTGGAACAGGACAGATCTTTGACAAACCTGAGAGAAACCAGAAATGGGGAAAGGATTCCCTATTTAATAAATGGTGCTGGGAAAATTGGCTAGCCATAAGTAGAAAGCTGCAACTGGATCCCTTCCTTACACCTTATACAAAAATTAATTCAAGATGGATTAGAGACTTAAATGTTAGACCTAAAACCATAAAAACCCTAGAAGAAAACCTAGGCAATAGTATTCAGGACATAGGCATGGGTAAAGACTTCATGACTAAAACACCAAAAGCAATGGCAACAAAAGCCGAAATTGATAAATGGGATCTAATTAAACTAAAGAGTTTCTGCACAGCAAAAGAAACTGCCATCAGAGTGAACAGGCAACCTACAGAATGGGAGAAAATTTTTGCAATCTACTCATCTGACAAAGGGCTAATATCCAGAACCTGCAAAGAACTCAAAAAAATTTACAAGAAAAAAATAACCCCATCAAAAAGTGGGCAAAGGATATGAACAGACACTTCTCAAAAGAAGACATTTATGCAGCCAGCAGACACATGAAAAAATGCTCATCATCACTAGCCATCAGAGAAATGCAGATCAAAACCACCATGAGATACCATCTCACACGAGTTAGAATGGCGATCATTAAAAAGTCAGGAAACAACAGGTGCTGGAGAGGATGTGGAGAAATAGGAACACTTTTACACTGTTGGTGGGACTGTAAACTAGTTCAACCATTGTGGAAGACAGTGTGGCGATTCCTCAAGGATCTAGAACTGGAAATACCATTTGACCCAGCCATCCCATTACTGGGTATATACCCAAAGGATTATAAACCATGCTGCTATAAAGACACATGCACACGTATGTTTATTGCGGCACTATTCACAATAGCAAAGACTTGGAATCAACCCAAATGTCCATCAGTGACAGACTGGATTAAGAAAATGTGGCCCATATATACCATGGAATACTATGCAGCCATAAAAAAGGATGAGTTCATGTCCTTTGTAGAACAGAAAACGAAACACCTCATGTTCTCACTCATAGGTGGGAACTGAACAGTGAGAACACTTGGACACAGGAAGGGGAACATCACACACCGGGGCCTGTTGTGGGGTCGGGGGAGTGGGGAGGGATAGCATTAGGAGAAATACCTAATGTCAATGACGAGTTATTGGGTGCAGCACACCAACATGGCTCATGTATACATATGTAATAAACCTGTACGTTGTGCACATGTACCCCAGAACTTAAAGTATAATAAAAAAGAAAAAAAAAATGAGAAATCCTGAGCATGGAGCTTCTCAGGGGAGCTGCTAGACAGGTCAGATAGTAAGACTTCTCTGAGGATGGGTTTTTTTGGGTAGCTTTAGACTACTTCTTCCCCCTTCAGTGGCTGCTAGGCTGCTGTTTTTCACAGCTTCTGTAGTTACAAGCCTGTTGGTTTTTAAGGCTACCACGAAGCTAGGGAGATGGGGATGGGAATCAGTCAGGTTAAAATGCCCCAGGCCTCATCCTTATAGAGATTTAGCCAGTTTTCCTCAAATAAATGCTCCTCAGATGACATCCAGCAGTTGGTTAATTTCCAGAGTTCAGCAAAGGCTGATTTTGACAATTTTTGCCTGTGTTCTCATTGCTTTTATGGAGAGAGAGGGTTTTCCAAGATCTTTACTCAGCTATTCTAGGAAAACTTCCTATTCCTATTTGTTTTTCCTTAGTTATTTGCAAGACCACCTAACTGCACAACCCCAGTCCTCGTCACATACAATCCTAGCCTATCTGAATGGCTTCTCCTAGAGGGAGCAGCGTGCATTGTTACTTGGGTTGTTTTTTTGTTTTTGTTTTTGTTTTGTTTTGTTTTGTTTATTAATTTATAGGAGTTCTTTAAATACTCTGACAAATAATCGTTTGTCATTTTTATGTCTGTAAAACTTTTACCAATTTGTGGCTTATATTTTTCTCCCTTTAATGTTATTTTTTAAATTACATTCTTTGAAAATATCTTGAATGTATCAGTATTTTTCTTTGTGGTTTATGCTTTTTGGTTTCTTGTTTATGAGATTCTCCTTACTCTGAGGTTATCTAGATTTTTTTTTTTTTCCTAGTAAGTTGGTACGTTGGCATTCTCATTTTCTACCTGAATTGATGTATATAAAATACCATTAGGGGTTCAATTTTATGTTTATTCATACGGATATCCTGTTGTACCAGACCCATTTTACTGAAATGTCAGTTCTCACTTTACTAATTTGCTTGGCCAGCTCTGGTATATATCAGTTTTTACATAGGCAAGAGGTCTGTTTCTGACCTCTTTATTTTCTTCTGTTGGTCAGTTTTTCTTAACCTCTCCCATAATGCCTTTGTCTTCAGAAGTATTTTGACTGTTCTGAGTCTCTGCTCTTCCAGTGAATTTTTAGCTTAAATGGGAGAGAACTAATATCTTTAAATATTGATTATTACAAATTACAAACATTGATTATTACAAATTACAAATTGATTATTACAAATTGATTATTCAAATTGTGAATATGATAGTGTAGGCCTTCTTTAATGCATTTCAGAAAAATTCTATTTTCTCCCTATAAATCTTAACATATTTTGAATTAGATTTATTCCTGAACACTTTATATTTTTTACACTATTAAAATGGTATTTTTAAAGAATTATTTCCTAATAATTACAGGTGTATGGGGACATAATTCCTTTTTGTGTCCCTGTATTTTGTATATTGATTTTGCATCCAGCAAATTTTACTCAACTTATTTTTGCTTTGTTTTTTGAGACAATCTCACTCTGTCACCCAGGCTGGAGTGCAGTGGCATGATCTCAGCTCACTGCAACCTCCACCTCCTGGGTTCAAGCCATTCTCCTGCCTCAGCCTCTCGAGTAGCTGGGATTACAGGCATGCATCACCATGCTGTGCTGATTTTTGTATTTTTAGTAGAGACAGGGTTTCACCATGTTGGCCAGGCTGGTCTTGAACTCCTGACCTCAGGTGATCCACCCGCCTCAGCCTCCCAAAGTGCTGGGATTACAGGCATGAGCCACTGCACCCGGCCTTTACTCAACTTATTAATTCTAATAATTTATCTTTAGGGTCTATCGAGTCATCCATATAGATAGTCATGTAATCTGTTAGTAATAACAGTTCTCTTTCTTCCTGGCTTATCCTTGTGGCCTTATTTTACTTGACATACGATGCTGGCAGAGACCTCCAGCTGAAAAGAAACAGTGATAGAAGAATCTTTTGCTTTATTCCTGGTTTAAAGGAAATACTTTCAGCATTTTACCACTTAGTATAATTTTTAATGAGTTTTATGTAACAAGCCTTTATCGGGTTAATGAAGTTCATTTCTGTTTCTAGTTTTACAAGACTGGTTTAGTTTTGTTTCTTATTGTGAATGGATATTGGATTTTATCATGCTCCCTTAAATTGATTAAATTTTTTAAAATTAAGTTTTATTTCTCTCTTTTTAGCAAAGAAGTTTGTCATCCTGATATTGGCGGCAAGATCATAATGTGTCCTCAGTGTGATAGGCTTTGTCCATTCTGGAAACTCAATATTACTTGCGAGTCCTCAAAGGTAATTTTGCTATTCTCAATATTTACACCTAATGAAAGATTTTTTTTTCTAATGATAATTTAGATAAAACATAGATATTATATCTTTTTTCCTCTTAGGAATTCAGACAGATATTTTTCAACTAACCTTTCAAACGTTTTGTACATTAATATACAATGCTTTATTCCTCTTTTACAAATAAGAAAATTGTGATTTAAGACCTTAGATAAAATCTCATAGAGTGTCAGTGAGATAATGGTGGAATCTAAACTATTTGAGTATTTCAAGTAATCAAAGCAGAAATCTCAAACCCGTTTTATCTTATAAATACTTTTTAATAGATTTACTACAGGTTGAGTATTTGTTATCTGAAATGCTTGGGATCCAAAGTGTTTTGGATTTTGGAATATTTGCTTTCGACTTACTGGTTGAGCATCCCTAATCCAAAAATCCAAAATCTGAAATGCTGCCTTGAGCATTTCCTTTGAACATTATGTCAGTACTCAAAAAGCTTTGGATTTGGGATACTCAACCTTTATAAGTATTTTCCTTAATTCAAGTAAGTGGAAACCTGAAATCTGTACTTCTGTTTTCCCCTTTTCAACATATGCCAAAACTATGCTTAGACTGTAAACACCCTGATGGTCAGACTTAGACTATAACTATGCATGAGAAAGGTTTTATATGTGATAAAAGGTATTTGTCTTAAAACATTGCCAGAAAACACATCTGGCTCTCCTTATACATGCACATGGTCCTGAGGTTTAGGACGAGCATCAAGAGTGGAGGGAGCTTACTGAAAGCAGGCTGGAAATCTGGACAGAAAGAAAGATGGTCAGCTTACTTCAGAGCATTTTCCTTACAATTCTGACCTACGCTTTCCTCTGATGATCTTCTCTTTATCCCCTTGTTCTGCCATGAGAGTTTAGGAATCATTAGTGGCCCTAGAACATTGTGGCCTACTCCATGTAAGTCAGATTTTAGCAGAATATATTACTGTTATACTGATGCCACTTTCTATATCATACTTTGCATAGTTTTTATACTTACCACTTTTAACATACACAACAACCCTGTGAGGTAGGTGGAACAGGCATTATCTCCATTTTACAGTGTAAAATACTGGGAATGTGGGAGATCAAATAATCTACCCAAAGTCACCCACCTAGTAACTGCAGAGTCAGAAATTTATAACAAATCTGCATTTCTCATCATTACCATATTCTTTGCCAGCTGACATTGCAGGCACTTTACTCAGATCCAGCTCTATGTTTGAAAAATTGTTTCACTACTTAGTTAAGCTGATTGCAGGGTGTTGTCAACAGATGGATTTTTATACTTAATTTAGAAATTAAGCCCCCTCTTCCAAACCAACACAAACTGTAGACTATAAATATGTGTTGTAGATCACATAGAGTAAAAGACTTGAAGCTAGTAAGAAGGAAGCTGCTTCCAGTGATGCTGACTCATAGGCTAAAGGGCACTAGTTAACTGCATCCCGAAGTACTGGCTTTAAGGCAGATGCCAATGATAATACCAGAGGTAGATTGTCATCTACAAAGATGCAAGTGGAAGTTTCATTTTCCTTAAGAAGTTCTCTCCTTCACACTCCCCACACCCACCTCTTCTTCTTTCTTCTGCTCCAACTACCCATCCTTAAGCACATGACTTTCAAATATGCCCCGTGTGCATTTTTTTATTGTTTTGAAAAAAAGAAATGAGTCTTTAATTCTATTCCAGTTTCCTCAAGGATCCCTTGAGTCTTGTCAGAATGATTTACAAAGGGAAGGAAACATAATACAAGTAAGAGGACGAAATGGAAATAAAAAGAGTTTGAAAAAGAAAAAGAGCACTTTTTCTGGCTTTTCTGTTTGTGAATTGTTTTTTCCTTCATATATTTATGTATTTATATGTCTTTCTTTTGGAAAGAGAGTACTAATTTACAGATATGCTTACCTTTTAGCAAATTAAAAATAGAAATATAAAATCAGGACCAAAGAAATCAGGAAACAATTATGCAAATAATAAGGATTCATACTGTTTTTTTTTTATTATTATTAAATAAGATTCTTAGCTTTCTAGCTGGTAGGATAAAGGGGAAACATGGTAAGTTCTAATATTTTGTTCATAAAAACACATTTAGTTATAAAATTTTGACTTTGCTTCTTTCCAGGAAGAAAGCATAACAAATTGTCATTTTTCCCCCCAAGATTCTAATTGGTTTCTCTGCTTAAAATCATCATGCCTACATATGCAGCTCTTTCTTTTCTTTCCTGCTCTATGTGAGTAAAGCAGTATGCTGATTCAGACTGCTCTCAGCACAGCTGTCTTGCCCTCTCTGTGCCATCCTGCCTAGCAAGCTAAGCTAGGCTTCTTACCATGTAAGCTCCTTGCTTCCTTCTTCCCTTACTTCCTGCTTCCACATAGTTCATGGAACACAGAGCAAAGAAGTCAGCTATCTTATTCTTTCTCAAGGGTCCAGGATTCTCACACATGTGGCAAAAATACTAACTTCATTCAGGCCTAATTCCCGCATAGGAGTGCTAGGCATGTCCCTCACCTTCAGCAAGGCAGCTGGAGTGATCTTGACATTGGCAGTACACTTCCTCTTTCGTAATGCTCCCATTTTTCCCTCTAGCACTGACAGAAGTGTTTCCATTGACGTTTTCTCAAAAGAGTAGAGCTAAGAATTCACAGATGGGATTTTCTTTTTGGAGTAGGTGAGCAGAAGTGTCAAGGCAAGTAGAGTGTTGTCAAATACTTAGAAGATTGCCTTGATTCCTAAAATGGAAGTAGCATTGGACAGAATCTTCAATAATAGCATTACAACATGCAGAACTGTTTTTTATGGGACCTTTCTTACAGTTTTACAATAAAGGATAAGGCATAGCATTAAAAATTAACTTGGAGAAGATGGTTCCATGAGAGTCAAAGGTAAAAGATTTGAAATATGTGGTCTGTGGAATACCTGGACTAGAGGAGTAGGTGGAAAGCATTGTTCCCCAGAGCAGGCATGCATTTATTCTGTCTTCCTTGAGGTTTTGTAGAAGAATAATTGGATGACAGACAATTAAGGATTATGCTTGCTTTTTCTCATCACAATCAGTGTGGGTGATTGAGGGGGCCTTGAAAATCAGATGGATGAGAATGTAGCTATTCTTTTATGAAAATAACAAAAGTAATGTTTTTACGTAGATGAAGGTTTATCCTCTTTATTTGAGTATAAAGAGCAACCCAAAAAAATCACCTAAAACAAAGTAGACTTTCTACTTCAAAGCAGCTTTGAGTCTTCTTTAACATTTGAAAAGGCTTTTTTTTTTTTTTTTTACCTATAGCTTCTTTTTCAACCCAGTCCCTGTCCTTTTATATGATCTGTCATAAAGTAAATATAATATGCTTGTCACTTTTTCCATTATCTTTATAGTATTTTTTTAGGAAATGTAAAATTGCTCATTAATGAAAAATTAGTAACTAATTAAAATATTTTCCAGGAACTCATAGAGGGAAATAGGCTACTTATATACTAGCAAAGAGATAAAACTTAGCAGAACTAGTGAATAAAACCTTCTTTGGCCAGATATGTTATGATCATTCATGATCATTGTATTCACTGTAATGTTAGCAAAAGCACCTGTGCATCCTTTATTCCAGTAGAAACATCTGTCAGTGATGGTAGAAAAGCTATCATTGGGTTTAAGAAAACAGAGCTCTCCTGGAGGAGAGCCACCTCGAGATAAACCTCAGCTTTGTATGTCTCTTTTTTTTTTTTCACTTAGCAATGTTTCTAAGATTCATCCGATCTCAGCTCACTGCAAGCTCCGCCTCCGGGGTTTACGCTATTCTCCTGCCTCAGCCTCCCGAGTAGCTGGGACTACAGGCGCCAGCCACCTCGCCCGGCTAGTTTTTTGTATTTTTTAGTAGAGACGGGGTTTCACCGTGTTAGCCAGGATGGTCTCGATCTCCTGACCTCGTGATCCACCCGTCTCGGCCTCCCAAAGTGCTGGGATTACAGGCTTGAGCCACCGCGCCCAGCCGCTTTGTATGTCTCTTAACAGGAAAAACAGGAATTCTGAAACTTACCCTCTGACCAGGTTGGGATGATGATAAGATACAAATCATAAATCTAAAAGTTGCTTAGGGGTCATTGTATTCGTACAGCCGTACTACTTCCTCAAATCCATTATGACAACTCATAAGAGGCTGTTATTCAAGCCCAATAGAGGCTTTCAACTCAGTGGAATTCTAGGAACTATATCTATTTCCTTTTTGGGATATGCAAAGTTTCATTGGAAAATACACTGGTTAATACAGCAAAGATTGTTTGCTTTTAAAAGAATCAAATTTCACTCTAAGTATGTAGTAGATACATTGAATGAGTATGATCATAGATGATTGTTAAATTAGGCATCAACTTTGAAAAGAACTTAAAGACTGTAGAATAGACAAAGCATTTCATATTTACTGAATCTATTAAGTGGAGGATATGACTCATTTCTATGTCATTTTTATTTTCCAGAAATTGTGCATCTTTGACAGTTTTGGAACCCTCGTCTTTGCAGTATTTATGGGAGTATGGGGTAAGTTATTATTTTTTTTCATGCACTCAATTTGATAGTATTATACAGTTTTATGTAGGCTATCAAAGTAACCCAATTTTAGGACCTTGTATTGCCCAGGCTTCAACTCCCCTAGAATTCCATTTATAACTGAGGACATTGTATCAGTTAGCTTTTACTATATTAAAATCTGCATGAAAATATATCAGCTTAAAACAACAAACCTTATTTCTCATGTTTATTATTTCTCATCATTCTCTGGGTCAACTGAGAGGTTCTTTAGGCATGGGCTGGCTCAGCTGACTCTAGTAAGCTGGCAGCTCCACTGGGATAGACAATCTTGCAACTAGAAACCTCGTTTGGTCTGTGGGGCTCAGCTGGGAAGGTTTCTCTACTCTACATGGTGTCTCATCTTCAAATAGGCTAGCCCAGGATTCTTGGTGTCAGGGTTCCAAAGAGAAGAGAGAACAAGCTTCAGTGCATATGCATTTTTAAGCCTATTGTTGCACCAAGTTAGCTAATGTCCCATCAGCCAAAATAAGTCGTATGGCCAAACCAGCATCAATGTGGAGCGGTGGGAGTACTACCCAGTGGCTTGGATGTAGGAGGCATGATTTGTTGAAAGCTATTATTGCAACAGCCCTCACAGTGCGATACAACCTAACTTTTATGGGAGTGGAGGTCAGGAGGAGGCAGCAACACAGTGATTATGGGTGAGCTTTCTTCCTCATACACTTCTGTGTGAGCAGATATTTAATGAGTATCTGCTACTTGTATAATAATAAGAAACTCTGCTTACTAACTAGAACAGATAATTCTACAGGATCTAATTCCCATATGGTAACTTTAACACTATATTATTTACTTCAGGATAGCATCATTAATACAATGAGGCAGTTATCATTTTCTTTAAATGCAAACTTTAAATGTTTAATTGATCTAAATGTTCTAACATAGAAGAAAAATACCCATTTTCAAAATTAGATGCATTTCCAATTTCATTGTGTAAATATGAGAAACAGCAGAATTCAGGTTATAGGAAGGTGGAGGAAAAAACTGAACCAAGTTTCTTATTCTTTAAAGGACGACACATCAACGTATGTATCTCACAGAATCAGTTATTTACAGTGTCCTCAGCAGTATTTCTCTTTGGTAGCGATTGTGCCTATGAAGAATTACCAAATGGGTCACAGAACGGACAATCCGATTATTTTGCTCACTTTTTAGAGACACTCATTGCCACTCAACGGATAAAGTGCACTGTAAGGTGACCAGACGTCCCAATCAGTTATACTGGCATTTGGCCATTTAGCATGTTTTGGCTGGAGACCAAACTCTGGCTAATATTTGACACATAGAAGAATAAAGATTGAATTTATGTATTAAGATCCTCTGTGCTCCTGCACTGTAATACGCCCCCCGCCTACCCTCCGCCCCTCCCCAGTAAGAGCTTTAGGTACTGAACACGTAGGTCAGCACTTTTAACTATTAACTGTACTCTCAGCGTTGAATCATAATGTATAACATACTAACACATCTACTGAACTCCATATACTAATGGATGCTGATAGCCCCAGTTAAAGAAGACATTTGAAATAAAACAAAAAAAAATGTTAATTTTGACACTAGAAAGACAAATCTCAAATTTCCTAGCTAACCTTCCCTTCTCTGATCATTAACTACACCATGGTTATAGAACTGACGTACACATTAGCTGCTGATTTTATTTTATCTGATTTTAGAATGCAGAAAGTATTTCAGCACTGCCTGTAGCATCATATGTATATCTTTAAGGATATATATGATAAACTTTTTAAGTGCTTTGTGTGGCTTTCCTTGTTACTTCTGCTTTGAGAACTACTGCTGTGAACCACTTTACAGAAATTCTGCAATTGCAGAACCAAACAGGCTACAGCCTCGTATGAAGTTATTCATATCACCACCATTATGTTCCTGCAGCATCTCTTTTGTGCCCAGATGCATATGGCACTTAGAGTATTTTTCTGCTCCCTAGAAATTATAAAAGTTGAGAGTAGAAAACCTTTTGTAATCAATATAATATAAATCATATACTTACCTTAAAAATGTCCATCCTTTTAGGACAAGGCAGCCCACCTGTTCATACTGATTCATAGAGTCCTAAACACCAACCCATGGTTGAAGTTAAAAGTTCTAAACGCATCCTGCCCACTCCCTTCCTTGTTGCATCTTGCCTACTTATACCTGATTCTCCCTGGATCAGACTCTTGTCTGCATGACTGCAATGTTTAATTTTCACCTTTGAGGGGTGAGTTCTAAACTAGGCCTAGTTATTTCCAGAAAACCACCAGTCATCTGGCTCACTAAGGACTTGGGGAATCAGGAAGCCTAACTAGCTGCACTTGGGGATCAGAAAACAGCTGCTGTGACTGTTACTTTCAGACCTGTGCTGCTTCTGCTGGGTCCACACCAGCAAAATAATGCAGCTCCTGCTACCACCACCCTGACTCCATTCAGCCCAGTTTCTGACTTAAGTGACATGCAGATGCTTCTGACAGGCATTTTTAAAAATCAGATCTGGAACCCTAGCTGCAAGAGAGTTTCTAGCCTTTGAATTAGGAAGTTGGAATAAACGAGTGGGTGTGGTGGCTCACGCCTGCAATCTCAGCACTTTGGGAGGCTGAGGCAAGTGGATCACTGAGGTCAGGAGTTTGAGACCAGCCTGGCCAACATGGTGAAACCCCGCCTCTACTAAAAATACAAAAATTAGACAGGTGTGATGGTGCACACCTGTAATCCCAGCTGGAGGCTGAGGCACGAGAATTTCTTGAATCCGGGAGGCAGAAGTTACAGTGAGCCAAGATCACTACTGCACTGCAGCCTGGGTGACAGAGTGAGACTCCATCTAAAAGAAAAAAAGTTGCAATAAAAGCTGAGCGAGTTAATCTAACTCCTGTGCCTCTGTGGGTTATGAGGCCTAAATAGTTTCGAGGCCTGTTAAAACATCCTAGACCTTCAGCAGCAAACCCTTACAGCAACCAGAACATTTCCATCTACCAGAATGTGTCTTGTCCTTAGACAATGCAGGATATAACACCACTAACACTTTACTGCTCTGAAATCTTTTTGGGTGTATGGACATCTTCTTCATCTGATGCATATTTTGTTTAGATATAATAATATCCCGATTAAGAGGAAGAGCTGTTACTGATCTCCAAGTTCCAGACAACCTTTCTCTTTTCTCATTATATATTGATGTAAGAGTTTTAACTGTGTCTAATCAGCACCTCTGGTTTGCCAGAGAACAGAAGTGCAGTGCTCCCTGCTGGAGTTCTGTCAGATGTCTTATTGCAGGGGGAGAGAGCAAAAGATACAGAACAGAAATTTCTGTCTGTGATCATGCACGGTCACCCCAGGACCTGGTGCCCTCAATCTGGGACACACAGCATTGTGAGTCAGCACTGATGTGGCCCAGGAGTACTCCAAAACACTGGGTGACTATTAGGTTAGCAGTGCCTTCCATAGACCCTGCAGAATCTGAGGCTGAGTGAAATAAGGAACTAAAACTCTCCCATTGCTGCAACTCCCAGGGGTTTTCCTTCAAGGCTGAGGATTTGCTAACAGCTCATTATTTCTCACCAGGCTATGTCTTGCTTGCATTGCAATCCTATCACTTCCCAGGCAGAACTGCTTCCCATAGTTCAGAATTTGGTAAACAGAAGCATATGTTCAAGTTCAGGGAGGAGAGAAGAGGGCATCCACTGTTCTTCCCTTATAGCACCGACTAGAATTGCTTATGTTGCTCTTTGTGAGAAAAGTTAAGAATGTGTTCATGAATTATCTCCTAGTTGATATTGGGTAGATATGAGATAGATGCTAGATAGGTACTGAGTAAATGAGTGGCTATCACACTCCAGTTTTAAAGATGAAGAAGATGACACTCAGGGAGTGAGCTATCTAAAGATGACACTCAGGGGCCAATTATCTAAAGCCCCATAGACAGAAAATGACAAGCATAGAATAAGAGTTCTGCCAGTAATTTGGCTATTAGTCTTTAGATTGATGACAAAATACAGTGTATATTAATGAAGTTGCAGCAAGCTTTTAGAAAGATGCAGAAATTTGGTTTTTACTGATATAATTGCATTATTTTGTTTGATGCTGTGAAAAAAAATGAGAATGGGTTAGAAACTGTCAGTTTAGTCTCATTGGTTCTACCTCATGTGACACAGGTGCAGACCCTTCTTTCTAGCACAGAAATAAGAAACCACCAGTCTTCCAGCCTAATTTTAACAGGCTTATAAGTACCAGTTTTTCATTTATGCCTGTAAGTGTCAAAGTGCAACAAGATTTTAATGTGCTTAGTCACAGCATCCTTAAAAAATGGTTCTGCTGGAAGAGTATGTTTGCAGTCTGTAAGGTAGAAGAGTACACATGATAATTCCTTCAGCTGTTGACCCTGCACCCCTCCCCACAGTCAGGGTGCTCAAGCTTGATCTCACCAGTAAACTGTCAATGCTTCATGGTATATTCTCCATCTGGGGTTATCCTGGCCTCTTGCTGGGTACAGGAATACCTCAGAGATACTGTGGGTTAGGTTCCAGACCACCACAAGAAGGTGAATATCACAGTAAAGGGAGCCACACAAATTTTTTGTTTCTCAGTGCATATCAAAGTTATGGTTTTACCATACTGTAGTCTAGTGAGTGTGCATAGCATTGTCAAAAAATGTACATACTTTAAAAATACTTTGTTACTAAAATGCTGACAATCATCTGAGCCTTTAGAGAATGTTCATCTTTTTGCTGGGGGAGGGTCTTGCCTCGGTGTTGATGGCTGCTCACTGATTAGCAGGGTGGTTGCTGAAGGTTTAGGTGGCTATGCCAATTTCTTAAAATAAGACAACAATAAAGTTTGCCACATTAGTGCACTCTTTTTTCACAAAAGAGTTATCTAGCATGTGATGCTGTATGGTAGTATTTTACCCATAGTAGAACTTCTTTGAAAATTGGAGTCAATGCTCTCAAACCCTGCTGCAGCTT